AAGAAAAAAAATGCAACGGTCGGAAAGAAGATAGCGACGTAGTCTTCCATGACAAGATTTAGGAACTGAGTGCGAAAAATCAACTACCCATTTAATCCCCCTAATTGAACAACAGGACAAGAAAAGATTTATCATTACCATTGCGTAGCACTTTTGTTTTGTGATCTTATGGATGCGAAAAGTACTTTAAATGAAAGCACACGATGCATATGCTAGGATGAGGAATTTCACGAAGGTGGAGCCGAGTAATGGTGACGGACGAAATCGCAACAAAAAAGTAAGCGAAAGTACACTTGATTTAATAGAGGCAATAACGGGAAAACAGACAATGCAGTCACTTATTATTCATTTATTTCAGCCATTTCAATTCCACAAAGAATGCGGGAAGAATAAGCGGAAGAGTAGAAACTGAAGCAGAAAAGAGAAGAAGAAAACAGAGAGTGTAACAATGATGACTAAAAGGGAGTTTGAAGAGAGCAAGAGGTCAGTTACCAAGCAGAGAGGAGGCAGTTAAGTAGTGTCATGACATAAGGAATGCCGGAGAAGTTTTCTGTGGATCTGTTCTTTATAATTCTGGAGAATGTAATCCTACAAACAAAGCCGAAATTCTCAGAGTATGATCACTCAGAATTGGCTGTATAATGAAATTAAGTTGAAAGAAAAGTGGGGGTTGAAGGAGAGGAAGAGAGGGAAAGAGGCAGTTATGAGATGCGTACGCTGGAGACAAGAAGAGCAGCAAAGCAAAAGCATTTCCTGCAACAACAACCAGAAGAAGAAGAAATGATAAGCGGAGGAATCAGAGAACGAGATAAAATTGTTTGTGTGTGTGTGAGAGAGGTTAAGATCGAAGGAGAAAACGCACCAAAAATGCCAAACATGAAATGGGCAACACTTTCCATGGTGAAGAGAATATGCAGAGGGAGAAGCAGAGTGCAGAAGGATACATGGAACGAGAGGCGGGCAAGGGAGATTATATATAGGAGAGATGCCCACACCCTGCATGTAATAACTGTATCTGCAATTAAAAAGTATAGACTTTTGCCTTTTCTTTCCTTTTTTTTTTTTAAGTTGCCCGAGTCGTAATTGTATCTAAACCGGCAAAAGTTTGAAGTCTGGCTAGAACTCAGTGGATTTTTTAAGAGAAAAGGTGCGCGTCAAATAGCATGGGGGAATTTTTAGTGACGCTCAAGGTCGCGGGTTCGGAGGATTCTCACGGAACATCGAACGGGGCTGTCCTATGCAAGTTTGACCGGTGGGATATATTCACACGACGTATGATCACTTTATTATATGAAATCTTAACTTTTGTAAAATGCAAACATTTCGAATCTTAATTAATTATGTATTGCCCGGATTCCATTTCAAGATTACGATATGATTAGACGTACACTGCTTGTCTAAGCTACCATTTCCATAATATTTATAAATGTCTTTCTTTGTTGAAATTTAGAAGTTAAAAAAAAAAACCTCAACTATGTAGACTCTCTGTATATATGGGTTTGGAGAATGAAGGGAGTCATGTCTAAAATCGGAATTTGCCAAATTACTTATGCATATATACGTAAATACCCAGGTGCATATATAAAAAATTTTATCAAGTCATGTTGTCCCCGGAGAAATAAAAAACATGGTTAATCACTTGTATTTCATTGAATGCATCGCACTATATTGAGTTTTGAATTATACGCACATCCTAACTAACCTGTACAATCAGATCTTATTATTTTATTAGAGCCTCCATGTCTATCTAATGAAAAGGTCCTCCCAGTGAAGAATATAAAAAGTGAGAAGGATGCAGTAAGAAGTCACACATGTAGAAGCAACATTAGGCGGCATCAAATTGAACAAGCCAAGATTTTGTCCAGTTTGCAGTCATTATATAAAGGCAGCAAAAGGGTCTAACTTATGGCACATCATTGGAAGTTTGGAAGCGGACAAGGCAGCGTTTTGTAAATCTTTTTTGTTGGTTTCATGGGGTGGTCTCACGAGGAAGTTGGGATATCAGCGAAAATTATTGGGCATTAAAGAAGGCCCTAATTTTCTAAAAGTTAGGTGTTCTGGGAGTTCATGAAAGCTGTTTTTTTTTTTTAACCTGAGTTCATGAAAGCTGTTGACAACACGAAGAAAATCCAAAATAGATCACGCCCAACTCTGGAATCTCTAAAGATGTAAGAGGACTGCCAGTGTGTAAGATTGTTAGATCTCTTTATGATCACGCTTACAGAAAAGCTGATACTTGTACTGACTTGGTTGGGCATTGGTCAAGCAACATTACGGATTTACCACCAGAACTCAAGAGTTACTGCACATTTTACTGTGCTCCATGCAACTATTTTCATTCCTGTTATACTTCCCCCCCGCTTCTTGATATATAAGCCTTCGTCTTATTTTATTTTCGTTTTAAATACAAGATTTAATTTGATTTAATTTTTATATTTATATAATTTTTTCAGGATAGTTTTTCTAATAATAGTAGTTCTAGCCAATATACTTTATTAGTAAAAGTATTTTAGGAAAGATAACATTTATTTATTATAAATAATTAACTTAATTTATTCTCTTAATTTACTCAAATTAATTAACTAGTTTTTATATTTAAGACGAAAGATAGTGTTTTCTTACTCATTTTAAGAGAATTTACATGGAGGAAAAATTCAATCTTTCAAAAAGTTTTAAATTAATTCCTATATGTGGAAGTTTCAATAACTGATCAAACAAATAATATAAAAGCTATGAAAACCATGTCATGGTTAACATGAAGATTACTCAACAAGAGTTGGTCTAGTTATAAAGAAGTCGACTCATAACTCATAAGGTCGTGGGTTTCAATTCTGTTGCCGATATGAGGATCTTGTTGGTAAGTGATTTGTGTATAATTTTCTTGTATTTAAAAAAAAAAAGAGAGATAGAGATCGCTGAAATTTCGCGTGCTTGGGGCTTATAAAAGTCTGTATTTCGATAACTATCCGGAAGTGACAACAGTATAAATAAATCCATGATATTATTTCACAAATTATTTTCACTTATGGAAATTGAATTAAAATAAAGAAAGGGTATAAAACCACATAATAAGGCATGCATGAGTTGCGTGCATGATGCCATGTCCTTGGAGTCGGAACACACTTGTCAAATTATTGAGTTAGGCTCATTGGCCCCTCCAGGAATTTGCGTTAGGTTCATTGTGGCTGGCTGGATCACAGTATCCTAGTTAGGCTCATTGGCCCCTCCACTCTAAGAATTTGACAGGCAGAACGTTTTTATCAACTTTTTCCTCAGAATTTATAATTTGCACTGTCTTTCTATTTAATTTATACTCGTAATAATTTTAGCGTTAGGTCTTTATACAAATAAATACGCATGTACTAAGAATGCTGTTTCAGGTGCAGGGGAAACAATATGATTCATAATCAGTAGAAAGAAACCATGATAGCCACTTTTTATTTCCATTGTGTGGCCACACTTCAAAGTGGAAGCCAAAACTTTATCTAAATAAATAGTTCTGTCATCATGGGCTCCTGTTCAGAGGGACTGCATCATTCTATCCCCTCCAGTAGGAGGGTCCATCCCTTCATCTATACCTAAAATTCTACTGATTAATTAACAAGTGCAGCATAAAAGATGGACATCAAGTTGGTGGACTGTGCCAACTCACGGAACTTGTGTCTGCTTGTACCTTAATCTTGGCCTTCCGAGCTGGGTAAAGTGCTCTTTAATGAGCACTCATCAAAGGAAATCTGCAGAAGTGTATATGACTAATTTGCTTAGACCCTTCCCCACGTTCCTGTGTTGCTCCATTTGAATAAGCTGCCATTGAGCAATTATTACCAACATTTATCAATACCTTATCGTAATCACCGACATTCATTGAAATGGCTAACTGTTTGACTTTCAGCTAAATATTTCTGAATTTAAATGGCTAAATATTTGACCATGATGCCAAGAGATTCCACCTCAACCATCATCTCAAGCACCAGAAATAACCATGCTCTGCATTAACAGCAATTGGCTCTTAAAGCCAACGTGACGGAAAAGCAATTGACCTTACCATAGATACTACCCTAAGCCATAGCAGCCTCCATTCCTCATGGCGATACACTTGAGGAAAAAGTTCCCCACTTGTAAGAATGTTGGTGTCCTCTTATATCGTTTGTGGTAATAATTATTAGTTAAGTCCCTGTTTGGTGGAAAAGTATCTGTGCCAGATAGAGATTGCGAACGAATTGAGAATTATTGCTACAGAATTAGCCCTACATGACGTATCATTCCATTCTGAACCATTCATTTTTCATCCTCTCAGAACTTCCCAACATAGCTTTATTCTTACGGGACTATCAAGTGTGAATAATATAATCTGTCTAACATGTTAAAATACCTGCTCCTCCCGTCAGCTATACGTATAGTGTGATAATCATGAAATGGACAAAGAACCATATCAGAACGCCGAAACGCATGATGCTCTTTTTCTTTTTTTTGGGGGGGGGGGGGGGGAAGGATGATGGTAACTGGTAAAAATGGAGCAGTTTGAATATTAAACCTGAGCTTACCCCCTCTTGGCAACTTCGTATTGATAACTAGCTTTGTCAGGAATCTGTTTATAAGAGAACTCGTATTTGTGACCACGAATAAAAGTTGCAGTGCTGATGAATGACGATAGAGGTGATTACTATTCCTCTTATATTAGCGATCACTATCAGAATTAACCCTGGAAAGGACAAAGAATCAAAATGCAGGTAGCACAGTATTGTTCGAGGGAAATGAGGTCGGTGGCATAGTTTGCTAGCAATAAGCATCAGACCGAGAGAGCCCTACATGAATGGTTGAAAAGCCCCCCGGGGGGGGGGGGGGGAACCTCTAGCTACTTGACCCTGGTGATATTATGCAGAACCGTGAATAATAACTTGCACTAAGCATGAAAGTGACGAAACTCCCCGAAACTGGCAAATATTGGTGAATACTACTGGTTGCAGTGTTGTTGTGTCATGGGTGAGATAAACCGGGCCTTCAAAGCCACAAATCTGGTGTTTAAATATCCTTTGACATTATCAAGCCCAAAAGATTCCTTTTTGCAATTTCTTTACACGACTACTGGCAACGTCAACTCAAAATAGACAGTCTACCTCCCACCTAAAGTAGAAGTAAGAAAGCACCCTAACTTTTTTTTTTTTTTTTGCTATACCGTAAATAAGCACAATCACGGTTCTACAATCAGTATCTCTGCACCAATCACATAAAGGAGTCAAACAAAATTGTTTTTCGCTATACCACAGATAAAGAAGACCTTTCTTGCGTGTGATCTCTCGATTTACAGAAGATCCCAATCAAACAACACGAAAAGAACTTGATATTCTCTTCAGATCATCATAATGCCTCTTCCACTGGAGACCTGCAAACAAAGCAACATTAGATTCGATTTTCTTCCTGTGTTTAAGGCCGTCAAGATCTCATGTTGGAAAATTAGTTAAATAGCAGATAAAGTTTAATACCACTGCCAGTCACATTGAACAAGTACAGGCGGTTGCCGGCTGCAGTAGCTGTAATAAGTACATGAGGAGGCTCTAGTTCAAATTGGTAGTATGTTCTTCCTTCATGTTCAGCGACATTGTAACTAAGAACTTTCCCTTCCACATTATCCCCAATCACTTCTGGACCAAACGCATTGATCACTTTTTCTGGAGGGCCTATATTTTCTATTTTAGCATCTTCACCAAGATCTGTTGTAATATGGTATAAAGATTAGAATCTGAAATTATTAATCTTTTCATCAATTTCTTTTCTGTTGTCTCCATAATACTAAAGTGGATTATGGGAAAAAAAAAAAAAGGAAGACAAACTCACTATCAGCAAATCTCAGAACAGGAGCAACAACGACAGACAAGCGTCCTTCCCTTGAGCTTCCAAATCTCAAATCTATCTCTGTGCCACCAAGATCTGCTATTGATACTGGTACCTGTGAAGTAGATATAGTACATCAGTTGTCAGAATTAAGCAAGCAGAAGACAAAGATGATTAGTTAAGGTTCCAAGCTGATAACAAGTATTTCTTTAAAAACATAGCACTGGAGCATTTTAGACAAGTTAGCATCTCGTATTCTCGTTATTAACTCCTTCAGAATTTTATAGAAAAACCTGACTGCAAATACCCAAGAATCAGACTTAAGTTTTTCAAGATAAAGAAAGGGTATGGCCATAGCGTAATAAGATCAAATTAAGCTGGCATCATTTCGAAAGAGCACTTATCTCATAGGCTCTTGTACTCCTAGATCGTTTGAAGTATTTTACTATTGTAACGTCAAGAGAGACAGAAACATAGTGGCTCGCACATATGAACCCATAAAAGTGGAACCTACCATTTTCTTCTTATCTCTCCGTACCACCTCATGAAATATTTCCGGGGATCCAAATTGGATTTTTAAAGGCTAAGTACCATATGAGACATGATAGAATTATAGTGCACATTTCCCACATTAAATGTCAGGGCTTATTAATTATCACCTCTTCCCAATCTTGAGGTACCGAGAACGTGTAAGGGATGATAGGACTCCATCCAACTCCATGTCCTCCAGACTTTTCATCTGGCCTGCGATACGTCCTCCAACCTGTCTGATCAAATACTTGCCTACAGTACGTCACTTTCACTTAAAAGCTATGATAATAATACAAGAAAACTGACGCTAGAACTGTAAAACGTATAAAAACACATCTTGGATCAAGGAAATTGGAACTTAAAGACATTTCCTTCGTGGTCAAAGTCAATGCTTTAATCATTCAAACACTTCCTTCCATCATGGGTTCCATTTGAAACTTTGGACTTTTTTTTGTTCTTGTTTTAGATTCATTTCTCCATTTGGACTTCAAAAAAAGATCTAATGAAGTACAGAAAAGAATTGATAGACTGGTCAGACCTCTTCAAATAAACACTATTTCCGACTTTTGTTTTATGCCAATAGTCAATAGCAAGGGACTATATATTCAAGGAAAAGGAAGGGTAAAAACCTTGTTCATCAGGCTCGGATAGACCAGGGATCCTTCCTGCTAGCAGACCTTGTTTCACCGCCGCTAAACTGTCTCTCGGAAAACCCAGTACGGAAACCGCAGAAGCCAAAATTGTTCTTCTGTTCAACAGTAAAGTTGAACGCTCCTCATTTTCTCCGTTAACAAAGTCAGCTCCTCTCAAACCCGAAGCAACTCTAGTTCTTAGAGTTTCATTTTCTGATAAAGAGCAACACATTGAATGTGAAGGAGGGGCTAGCACATGCTTGGAATTACTCCAAGAAAATCCACAGTTTATAAACATAACTGTTGCCATTCTCGGGGATGAGTTGGATGAGTACTGATTAAGGATGCGGGAGAAGCAGCATAATTATAAGCAGAGAGGAAGAATGATGCAGAAGCCCAGATCTCCAACGCTAGAAATTTTGTGGACGTGCTCATCTTGTGCCTGGGGACCTCGAATCCTCGTTCGCTTCTTCTGCTGACAAGTTCCCTTTGGCTGACACGTGGCGATTTATATTCCGGGTTTACCCTTTTATCTTTTTGCGCCGCGCTCAACAAAGCCACGAAAGTTGGGGAAATAAAACACGACACCACGGCGCCGAAGCCGTGAAAAATAAATCAAGTGATCACGATCACCCCAAGCTTCATTTAATATAAAAAACAGATTTTTTTTGGCCGCTTATTATTTTTACAGGAAAAATTACTCATAAGTCCTAGTATGAAATTTGGCAGCTCATTATTTTCATAGAAAAAATTACTCATAAGTCCAAGTATGAAAGTTAAACATAAGTAAGTTTCAAAAATATAATATTTACAAGTTAAAGGTTAAATTAAACTATTTGTATTCATAGGTCAAATTTTTACATTTGCAAGTTAAATTTATAAAATATAAAATTTGCTAGAACTTTTCCGTGGGGCCAAAAAGGGATAAAATCATTCCGTTCCCCATGGATTGCACTGCATTAGCATTTTCTCCAAAAGCAACGTGGAAGCATTTATGATGTAATTGGGCCTCGGGGCCTCCTTTGTGCAAAACAAAACAAGTGGATTAAGATCTCTAGAACAGAGATAATGAGGCGGCATAAACGGGAGGGAGGGGCAAGATCATTTGTTGTTTGCTGTTAATTTTAATTTCATTTTCAATTTAATTCTAAATATAAATTATAATTTATTTTGTTTTTAATATTTATTCGTTTCATCTTTAAGTAATTAATTCCCATAGTGATTGTATGTGTTAATGAGTTACTATCAATTCATAATTTAAATATATATAATTAATAAAAATATTTAAAAAAGATAATATTTATTTATTACGAATAATTAATTTAACTAACTTCTTTATTATTTCCAAATTAGTCAATTACATTAAGTTTTTTTTCCCAGAGGTGATCATTGTTTGAATCCGCTTGAAAAAAGCAATTTTGCACCCCACCAAAATAAAATCCCTTGTTCATACTCGCCTGTCACGTCCACCGCCTCTGCGCCCCAACCCTCGTCCAAAATGGATTTCAATAAACATTTTTAAGGAAACGAAGTTATTTGAGGGCAGATTATACATTACACGAACAATTCATCATTCAACTGTAACTTGTACCCCAAAAAAAAAAAAATTGAATGCTTCAGAACATGGAATATGTAAGCTTAAGGTATCTCCCGGCTAATCAAGGCAAAGGGACCGGGAGACCCCATTTGGAAAATTCAACCAAGTTCCTATTTACAATGGATCCATTGTGCAACCAGAACGTTTCAGCTGACTGATGAAATTGCCTCACTTTTCTCTGCAGTTCCCACATTATTCCACGCATTGCCGAGCAGGGTGCCGAATCTGAAGCATACACCCATAAGCACCTTACTTGTCTTCCTCGAGCTATTATTGCTTCTATATCTTCATCTGAAAAACGGGTTACAAGTTATATAGCTGTAAGATGCCGGAAGGACATGGTAAGTAAATCAAGAGGCAAATGGCACATATTAGTTTTGACCTGGTATTGATTCCAGATACTGGAATAGCTCCGCGCCTATTCGATTGGAAGGCCATTTTATTGATATCTGACTGTAATCAATGACATTCTGGAAAGGCAGTTCTACTTGATCGGATAATATAATGGGGACACATTCCTGTTAAGCAAATTATCACTATTTTCATTTCTTTCAAGCAAAGCCCATTCTGGGCAAAACACCAAACCGAACAGATCCACACAGATGGAGAGAGAAACAGACCACAAAATAAGACTCATAAAAGCGAAGGGTCCAAGATGACTCCCCCCGTGGAGCAAGGCAGAACTTTGCATTGCCAAATGTTCAAAATATTCTTTCCTTCCCAATTTTTCGGGTCCACTGAATTTCAAATCTGGACATTCCAACTGTTCATTACATCAATACATTATACATGCTGCATAATATCACAATGAAGATTTAACGGAGCCTGAAGTAGCACGTTCACCAAAAAAAAAAAAAAAAAAAGCAGTACAAACAGACATTAGAGACAAAAGTTCACCATGTGTTTTGAGTGCATTTAAGTGGAATCAACAGATAATTAAGCTAGAGATTGCTCAAAAGACGACATGCAGAAGTACGATCACATTGAGGCACCTAATGAACATTAACAATCGGTGTATCCATGTAAGTGGCAGTTGGCATTTCTCCCACCACATGGTGTTGGCCCCCATTTACTAAATGTAAGCAAATTTTGTCAATCAATGAAATTCCACATGAATGAGACACAATGCTCGAAAATAGCCTACTGTTAAGATGAGTTTGGCAAGAGTTACCAAGTCATAGAAGATGGCGTACCTTGTCTGGAAATTGCTTTGCAAGCTGTATCAGCTGAAGGCGACCCAATTTTCCTTGTGCACGTCCCAAATAATTTGCCAAGTACTTCCGCTTCGACAAAGGCAGTGGCTGGACCACTGGAGCATCAGTTTTAGTCATACCATCATCAATATTGCCAGGAATAATGATGTCTTTCCACGTATTAAAGGCACTTGTATCTCTCTTATCAGTCCGATCACCCTATGTTGCCATGTCCAATAACAGGTTTATAGTTAAAAAACTTTCATACGGACCTCATGCATCTGTCTATTATTGATTTTTGCACGCAGACAACTGACCTCCACATGTAATCATATTATTTTTCAGGCATGTTTAGATTGGCCCTTAAATCACATGTAGATGCATTTGCAACATGGCAGTAAAAAAGTCTAAACATGGCTCCATAGAATGATCATGGTAATGGAGTGATGATGCATACAAATATGAGAATTATAATTTTAGAACGGTAAAAAAGAAAGGGGGCAGGATTATGAATTAACTTTTAGGATTCCTTCAGTTGCATAGAATACCATAATCAATATGTTTGATCCCTGACAATTAATTATGGTCTAGCAGCATGCCAACAAAAGATGTAATTTGCCCTTTACTTCTTAATCACCCTAAAAGGTAACCTTGACGAATTTTCCAGCAGCAATAAAGAATAGCATCGTAATGTATAGTCAATTTTCCTGGTTTGTTCCAAAACTATAATCACCAATCAGGAAAACTCAATTAATGAAAGGCAGGTAGGTTCTGAGGAACTTAACATATTTTACGCAAACTTTATTTGAGAAGAACCACCTTAAAAAGAATAAAATTAATGACATGCATGTTTAATGCTTCATACAAGTTTAAACCTTTTTTCCTGATAGTGTCACTATAAACACGCTAAAAAAAAACAGAATAAATAATTTCATTTATTGTTAATGGCTCTTGTGATGTATTCCTGTATCATATTTCATACCATATTCTGTCCAAGTATTATGTGAGTGGGTATATCCACGTATTCCTTAGTTTGTTCTCCATAAGAAATAATTTCATCTTCCAGCTTGTCGAAGTCAAAGACAAAAGTTTGATCCTCATATGCTAATTTTAGTAGTTAAAGTATGCCAAGTAAAGTTTATAAGCTTCATGACAAGAAATAAGTGCACCTCCGGAGTAAGAATAATAGAGCGATTTATATATGTTGCCCAAGATTTGAACAAATGAGCTCCTGCCCCACTGCAGATCAGAAAATTCAAAGTTATGCGTTAGAAAGCAATGAGGAACCAAACACCTTGAAAAGAGAAATTATCAGATACAATTTATTTGAGCTGATTTTCATAGGGTATGTTTAAATCATTAAGATCCATATTCACAAGCAGATGGACCTGTCAACAAAGTTTGCAGAACCCTTTCAACAGCTATCTGGTGGACTATATGAAGTTAAGATGCTTTGGTTACTAGGAATTCTTCAAGCCTATTGGAACACCAAAATTTTCCTCTGCCAAAAGTCCACTGGAAAAAACTTTCTCGAAAGTTAATCTTTTCTGTCAAAGTACCATGCCATGTAATAGCTTACATGTGCCTTTGTGGTTTATTACAATTGGGGGGAAGGGTGGAGGCTCATGCATAAAACTGTAGAACAAAACCGTTTAGTGTATGTTGATATACAAGGAAGAGTACGCCAGTGAAGTCATTAGCATACCGACGAGTGTGGGGTCAAGCAAATGGAAAAAGAAACTCTGGGAGAAAGATCAATTCAATGATCCCACGCTTGTTCAAGCATTCGTAGCTTCAAATTCTCATAAACAATACCCCCTCCAAACCCTTTTATGAGGAACAAATAACTGCTTTACACGGATAACCGGAAACAAATATGTTAAGGTTACCTGGGGAAAACAAATATGTGGTTACGACCTCCAGATAACCGAAAATACGGCATTTGGCTTAACACCTAAGCCAAAAAGAAAAAGAGTTCGCCTTAGTCCTGTGCATATGAACAAAAGCACACACTACTTCAAACAAGGAAATGAAGAACTACTTTGACATAAGTCCGGTTAATTTCTTTATCATTCAGACCACCCATCATTCGAACACATTTAACATATGATGGGACGAAGAATAAATCCGCTTCCTCCTTCTTCTCCGTTCGATATTTTGATTGTTGGAAAAACTTGTGTATTTTGACCTACAGTCAATATAGCCATCAGAGAACTCAGAAATTCAAGCAAAACGCCATTTAAACAGAGCAAAATGGAAATTAGCTAAAAATTTTAAGGCGAAGTAGATACGACAACAAAGTTCTCCAATGGCATGAAACATGCAATGACAATATAAAGTTTGCATTCATTGATATTGTCAGCTGGCTGGCAGTCCTCAAGTTTCAGCCAGGATAGACTCGCACTGAACTTTGAGCTTATACATCCATATATCACTGCGAGGATCTATGGAATAAGTGCAGTTGAATCAATCGCATGTCGCGTTATGTCCAGAGATCCATACAATTCACATACTTTAGGGCATTCTGTTTTCCAGAGTATAAGGAGCTCAAGTAACTAGCAATTTCAAGGCAGTTGAAGTATGAGCACACCTTCGATTCTAAACGCCAAGCCCCGCTTAAATAAAAATCACGTGCAACACGTATATTTAGCAGAATCTAATTTATTAAACTACAGTTGCCCAATTACAGAAACAAGGAATAACCTGAGTTCCCCACTGGCCTTTCAAACAGGCATTCTCGGTGATTTTGCCTTGCCTTCCATACATCAAGACCTTCAAACCGTCGATCTCCTCCACATCGTAGACGTAGATCTTAAGGGAGAGCTGAGACCCATACCCACTCTCCGGCCAAGTGTAGGGTCCACCTGGCACTAAGTCGAGCGACGTCCGCACTTGATCAACGGAGAAGCTACATGGAGCAAAGGAACGATCGAAGAGCCTGGTGAAGAAGAAGGTGGCAACGACAAGGAATAGAGCTCCAATCTGGTGCGTTCGAGTGCAGATAAACTGATGGGAATGAGGTGCCAATGGTCTCAATTTGTGAGTGCCACTAGCCATTTCTGATATCTGAAGCAATGGATGGTGCTGCTATGAATTTTCGGTGGAGCTCATCCCCAATGAGGACATAGTGGCGAAAAACGCACCGTTTGCCTTCCAGAGCTCGCCGCAGGGCGGGACCGTCGAGCAGCCTGACGCGCCAACGGAGGGGAGAAGAGGACGTCTTGTATGGGCTAAAAGCCTAAAACGCTAGGTTGGCCCGCGGTGAATAGAAACGTGGGCTGAGGGGGCGATCCTTTCCTCACTATAATCGAATAATAACCACCATAACCTTTCAGAGATTAAATTTAAATATGGGCGAATTACAAGTCCTATGAAAAAATATATATAAAACAAATTTCAGAAGTTGTTATTTTTTATTTTAAAATTTGTTATCACAAACTACTTAAGTTATTATTGAGATGTTTTAGTAATTATTTTTTTTTGAGATTGCATTTTAATTCTCCTTTTAAATAAATTGTCAACCTGGTGTGAAATAGTTTTATGATCCACGTGGAAGTGCATGTTTCATCTCTGCGATGAACGTGATGTGATGATATTTGAGTTTTGTTTTAATATAGTCTCAATTTACAGGTTAATCTTCTAATGTTGTCTTTGAGGTGCTTGGTTTATCCTAATAACACTAAAAAATGCGCACATCAGTTGAGATAAAACGTTTTTTATTTATTTTATGAATTATAGAATTATTTTTAAAAAAACTAGTCCAGACTTTTTTCATCTTTTGCAACACATACCATGTGGAAGACAAGAATGTTGGAAAATTACATCATATATCTAAGATTATGTTAAGCGTACATCGATGCTCCTGAGCTACGTGACTAGTTAAAAATCACTTAAAAGTTTTTATTACCTGGACTGGCTTGAGAATTACATAAAAACAGTCCTTGCCCTGCGCCTCATATAATGTCATCACCAGAGTTGCAAAGCGTCGTTTTTAAAATCTGATGCAGTGGATACTTTCACTACAAGACTCAAAAGGCTTTGAACACAGCAGCACGCTGAACATCCTCAAGGTAACCGCGACTCTTTATCCAAGGGAGGATCTATTGAAAACTGCAGTGGACAATTCTAAGCTTTTCGTTTAATGTGCAGAGAGGGGCCGTGGAAACTAAAAGGGTGTTTGATAACCTTGAAAAGTGTTTCTTAGAAGTATTTTTCTGTAAAACGAGGCAAACTTCTCCACATATTTACTTCGTAAACTATAAAAACACTTTTAAAACTATGGTTTAGGAGGGGTTTGGATGGAAACCAAACCATGGTTTCAGAAATGATTTTACGGTCTACAAGATAAATATGTGGAGGAGTTTATCTCGATTTGCGGAAAAGTGCTTCTCAGAAGCACTTTTTAGGGTATCCAAACACCTTTTTAGTTTTCATCCAAACACCTTTTAAAATTGGAACCCGTACGAGCATATTTCTCCCTTGGCAGCGCATATTTGGAGAGTGAGTAATAATTGATGTAACGCAGGAAAACAAGGCTCTATGAAAATTGGCATTAGAAGCTCGCATCAGCATATATAGCCTGGAGAAGAGATGTGATGATTTTGAGTTGACTGTTGAAGACATGCTTTCCTTTCGCTTTCAATGACGAGTCTGTGACCAGTTTGTGGGAGGAAGAAAAAAATGACGCTAGTTGGTATTTAATTTAGCTTATTTTAATTTGAGCTGAAATTATACATATTCTTAGACATTTATAGTTAAATTGACGTCCTTTAGACAAATTACGCACTTAAAATCATTTTTTAATCCTTGCTTTGGCAGAGTTTTACCACTTAGAATGCCATGATTTTTGGTTAAAAAGAAAGAAAGAAAGAAGAATGACTGATTCACTTCGGATGAACTAGAGGAGTTAAAAAAAAAGAGAGTACTAATTCATTACTTACTGCTCCTGAATACGAGCATGGAACTTGAAAGTTGGAACACAATTTTAGAAACAATCTACGCCAGTCCTTTAAAATAAACGTAACCTCGTCTTGATCCTTTCATGTAGTTTTCTAGCAAAAGAACCACAAATGTCATTTATATGACTTTTGCAAAAAAAGAACTAAGAAATAAAAAAAACCCACTCAACTTTTTTCAAGATAAATAATATTCCTCCGATTCTTAATAATTAGGACCTAATTATTAAATTAATTTTGGTTATAAATATAAGATTTATTTATCATATTTATAAATTTTTTTAAATCATCTTTATGGATATTTCCTCAACTATAACGAATAGAAGAGGGTGGAGGATATTAAGGAAGATAATTATGGTGTTTTAGAAAGAATATGTTATATTTTTTGATAATTAACTAATTTACCTAACTTTCTTAATCTAATCAAATTAGTTAAATAGGTCTTATATTAAAGATTGGTGGAGTAGTTTTATAAATATACATTGGAAGAAATAATATATTGGAATTTTTATAAGAAGAATACGAGTTCAGTTTATCTGGACCCTCAATTATTCAGAAAAATAGCTATGAATTAACCTAGGCAACAATATACGTTTAACATATATTTTAATATTCTGTGCAACAACATAGACAGAATATTAATTTTTTTAGGAAAAATTAGAGATAAAATTTAATTGGTAAATAGGACCTAAAATGATTGATTGCATGAAAGAAGATTAGTTACACATAGAGGAAAGTAAATTGCACAAAAAGAAGATAGTTTGTATATAGTATTATTTAGATATAAAGAATTAGTTTGCACATAAGAAAGATGACTTATATATAAAAAAAATCTCATTTGTAAAAAAAAAATTGAGTTGCGCATCGTACAAAGGAAGATCATTACACACAAACGAAGATAAATTACACATAAAAGAAATTAAGTTGCACAAAATTTTTAAGTCCCATTTATCAATAAAATTTTTGATGAGGAATTTATCTCCAATTTTTTTTAAATAAAATTATCAAATATATTAATAAAATATCAAGACAACATAAAAAAATTAATGTGAGATTTCTGGCTTAAAATAGAAAATGCAGTACAGGGATATTCATATAACGTTGAGACAAATGAATTCGTCTCCTGTAAGCTGTAACTAATAGCAGTATATATTTCTCGGAAAATAAAATCTACGCATCTGCTTGCCGCACTCGCCCGATTCAACATTCTCAGTTCCATTCAGCTTAGGGTTTGTGACGTTCAACACCCTTTGTTAAAATCGCAGAATCCAGACGTTCATAGTAGTATATATTTCTCGGAAAATAAAATCTACATAACTCGCTTGCCGACTCGCCCGATTCAACATTCTCAGTTCCATTCAGCTTAGGGTTTGTGATATTCAACAACCTTTGTTAAAATCGCAGAATCCCGACGTTCATGGTTTGTGCACTTGCATAGAAGGGTCGTGAGACGCATTCGGCTTCGTCATGCGTCACCGAGGGATGGATCCCGATGAGGAGGAGTATGAGGAGGAATACGAAGATGACCAAGTGGTTGATGACGATGAAGCGGAAGTGGAGGAAGAGGAGGCCCACAGAGGAGCCTCCTCCAGGAAGCGCAGAAGATCTGGGTTCATAGACGACGACGCTGAGGAGGTGGACGAGGATGAGGAAGAGGAGGAGGATGATGATGATTTTGATGAAAGAGGCGGTCGAAAGCGCCAATACAAGAGAATGGCTGCTTCCAATTTCTTCGATGAAGAGGCGCAGGTGGACAGCGATGAGGAAGAGGAAGAGGAAGAAGGCGAGGATGGTAAGCTTTTCCTGCATATCTTATTGGCTCAATTTGAATACTAGACAGTAATCTTACTTATTCTGCAATTGACTGAAATTGCTTCCTGCTGAGGGGTAACCATCTATTCGGAGTTCATGTGTGATTTAGTCCTTCACGTTTATGTGATTGGGGTCGGGCATGTACATTCTCCAGGATGAAATAATGTGGACTTTCGTTGAGCAGAATGCTGTGAATGGCTTGAACTTTCTGTTTTTCTTGTTTGACATGTCATATGTTACTACTAGAGTTTTGAAATTACGATGTCTCATCTACCCTGTGTCAAATATGAGGAGATATGATGATGGCTGCCTGCATCATGCAGATTTCATCGTCGAAGAAGGAACTGATCTACCAGATGAAGATGGTGGAAGGAGGATGCATAGCCGGCGTATGCTGCCCCATGATCAAGAAGACCATGAAGACCTTGAAGCTATGGCAAGGAGCATTCAAGAAAGATATGGAAGGCGTGTCACAGATTATGATGAAGAAGCTACAGATGTAGAGCAGCAAGCCCTTCTGCCATCTGTGAGAGATCCCAAATTGTGGATGGTTAAATGTGCGGTATGATCTTTGCGATGTATAAATTCTATGATACTGATTGTGTATATGAATTGCTTCTCGTGTACGCACGGAATTTAAAGCTTTTCCTAAACTTTTCTATAATGCTTACAGATTGGTCGTGAACGTGAGGCGGCTGTTTGCCTCATGCAAAAATATATTGATAAAGGGTCTGAACTTCAAATAAGGTCTGCTGTTGCTCTTGATCACCTCAAAAATTATATATATGTTGAAGCTGATAAAGAAGCCCATGTGCGAGAGGTATTGTTGACGTGTAAAGTTTATATTTTGTGTTACTAGGATATTATTGTGGAGTTTTAACCCTTGTTTATGATTCAGGCATGTAAAGGTCTACGCACCATATTTACTCAGAAGATAACACTTGTTCCGATCAGAGAGATGACTGATGTTCTTTCAGTTGAAAGCAAAGCTATTGATCTTTCTAGAGATACATGGGTCAGAATGAAGATTGGGACATACAAGGGGGACCTTGCAAAGGTATGGATTGCATTCTGGGAAACATATGATATCATGTACATGCTTTCTTTAGTTACAACCAAGCTTTCTTTTTTCACAGGTTGTGGATGTTGATAATGTACGTCAGAGGGTTACTGTGAAATTGATTCCGAGGATAGACTTACAAGCCCTTGCAAACAAATTGGTGTGTAATTTTTCTCCTGCTTGAGAGTTTGTGTGTTTTGTCGAGCAACCAACTTTTTTTTGTGAAATAGCTTAATAAAATGTGTTCATAACATATGTGTGATGCAGGAAGGTAGAGAAGTCGTGAAAAAGAAAGCATTTGTTCCTCCTCCTCGGTTTATGAATGTTGATGAAGCTAGGTAATGCTGTTTTTTCCTCCTCTTTTCTTTGTGGATAACACTGTTATATGTTTCTTGGAAAATTTCGTAGTCTTTTCTTATGGATTCTACTCCTGCAGGGAACTGCACATCCGAGTAGAGCATAGACGCGATCCCATGACAGGGGAACGCTTTGAAACTATTGGAGGCATGATGTTCAAAGACGGTTTCTTGTACAAAACAGTATCAATAAAGTCAATCAGTGCACAAAATATCAAACCTACATTTGATGAACTTGAAAAATTTCGAAAGCCGGGTGAGAATGGAGATGGAGATGTAGCTAGTCTGTCAACATTATTTGCAAACAGAAAGAAAGGCCATTTTATGAAAGGTGATGCTGTTATCGTCATCAAGGGAGATCTAAAGAATTTAAAGGGGTGGGTAGAGAAAGTTGATGAGGATAATGTTCATATAAGGCCAGAAATCAAGGGCCTTCCTGTAAGCATGAATTTATTTTTTCTGGCTCTCTCCTTTGGATTGCCTACTACGTTTGCATGATGTTCTGTTATTAATTGGTTTTATTTTTTCCTTGGTTTTTGGCAGAAAACTCTTGCTGTAAATGAAAGGGAACTTTGTAAATACTTTGAGCCTGGGAACCATGTTAAAGTTGTTTCGGGCACACAAGAGGGGGCTACTGGTATGGTGGTGAAGGTGGAGCAGCACGTGCTGATTATTTTATCTGATACAACAAAAGAACATGTGGGTTACTATTTTTCCAATAGTAGTATGAAAAAGCGTTTACAAATTAATTTTTATGATTAAGTAATTGACGTGGAAATTTCTCTTTTCCAGATTCGTGTATTTGCTGATGATGTTGTGGAGAGTTCTGAAGTCACTACGGGAGTTACAAGAATCGGCGACTATGAGCTACATGATCTTGTCCTGCTAGAGTAAGCATTTTTTTAGCTTCTATTCTCAATATGCTTTTACATGTTACTCATTTTTAATTCAATTTGGTGCAGTAATTTGAGCTTTGGTGTGATAATCCGTGTAGAAAGTGAGGCCTTTCAGGTCTGTATCTCGCCTCACTTGTCAAGAATGCTCATGCATTGTTTTTACCCATGTTAATGTTTTCATCTTGTTTTAGGTTCTTAAGGGAGTTCCTGACAGACCTGAAGTTGCACTGGTGAAATTAAGGGAAATCAAGTGCAAGATTGATAAAAAAATAAGTGTGCAGGATAGGTTTAAGAATACAGTGTCAACAAAGGATGTTGTACGGATAGTTGAGGGTCCCTGCAAAGTAAGATTCTGATTTTGCCGAGTTTGGTTTCTTGAAAGTTCATATTGTTAAGTTTTACTTTATGTGTTACAGGGCAAACAAGGACCGGTGGAGCACATATATAGGGGAGTCTTGTTTATCTATGATCGACATCATCTTGAACATGCAGGCTTCATATGTTCGAAAGCTCAATCATGTGTGGTTGTGGGAGGTTCACGGACCAATGGCAATAGAAATGTAGTTAGTTTGTGTTCTTATGTTTGTTAATATCTGGGGCAAGTGTTTTTATTTAGTCCTCATAATAATTTGTTGTTTTTCGCTCCTAAACTCTAGGGTGATGCTTACTCAAGATTTCCCAGCCTTAGAACTCCGCCAAGAATCCCACAATCTCCTAGGAGGTTTTCTCGAGGAGGGTCACCAATTGATTGTATGTGTAACTCTTTGTACTTGAATGTTATATTGGTCTGTCATTTTGATTTAGTGCATTGTTTTATTGAGAAAGTTGTTTGATCTCATTCTTTTCAAATGTGGATAGCTGGAGGAAGGCATAGAGGTGGAAGAGGGCATGATGGATTGGCTGGTGCAACAGTTAAAATTCGCCAAGGTCCCTATAAAGGTTATCGTGGGCGTGTTATAGAAGTTAACGGCACATCAGTTCGGGTTGAACTGGAGTCACAAATGAAAGTTGTGACAGGCAAGCTTTTTGGATGATCCCTTCTCTTGGCTGCACTTCTGTATATATATGGAATCTAACTCGTTGATCATTTGCAGTTGATCGTAATCATATTTCTGATAATGTGGCTGTTACCCCATACCGGTGAGTTATAATTTTCCTGTACATGAATTTCTAATTTCTTCAATTTTTTTGAACAATTTCTGAGTCAACCTTCTTATGCTGTACGTTCTGCCAGTGACTCATCGCGGTATGGAATTGGAAGTGAGACCCCAATGCACCCATCTCGAACTCCCTTGCATCCTTATATGACTCCTATGAGAGATCCTGGAGGTTTGTTTAAGTTTTTGTGCTGGATGAAATTAGATATCTTGTAAATGTAACCTATATCATGCATTTGCTTAACACCCTTCGATTTGCAGCCACACCTATTCATGATGGAATGAGAACTCCCATGCGTGATAGAGCATGGAATCCTTACACTCCCATGAGTCCTCATAGGTATTGACTACAGTAGATTTTAGTTTTCAATGACCGTAGTGAAAGCTAGTAGTTCAAAAAGGTCTCAAAGTGCTTTACTATTAAAAACTTCAAATTCATTTCTACCAGTTTACTGCATTTTTCACTTCAGTTTTGAGGGAACCATGTCTTTCAAATTCAACACACAATCAACTTTTATGGTATACAAAAATGATGTGTTTGTTAATGCTAATACTTGCGATGAAAATAATAGGGAAAACTGGGAGGATGGAAATCCTGGCTCTTGGGGCACCAGTCCACAATATCAGGTTCAGAATCTTAGCTAACTTGCTAGATACCCTATGGACTTAATTTGAGTGACCAGAATGACCTTTTATTTATTTTTCTTATTTTCTTCGTAATATCTCAGCCAGGGAGTCCTCCTTCACGAATGTACGAAGCTCCAACTCCTGGTACTATTTGGGCTAGTACCCCTGGTGGCAGTTACAGCGAAGCTGGGACACCTAGGGATAATTCTGCATATGGTAGCACCATCTTCATTTTTATTGTCTTTGCAGTTTTTATTTCCGTACTTGTATTCATTCTGTTTGATGTGGGTGATTCTTGCAGCCAATGCTCCAAGCCCATATTTACCATCAACACCGGGTGGACAGCCTATGACACCAAACTCAGCATCTTATCTTCCCGGCACCCTGGAGGGCAGCCTATGACTCCAGGAACTGGTGGTTTGGACATGATGTCCCCGGTTATAGGTATATAAGTGCTGTTCCATATGTTGGATAGATAGTTTTATGTTGTATTTTAGCTTTTTGTAGCGTGACTTCTGGTCAAAGGATTATTTTTTTGTGCAACCGCTGCATTCTCCTCACTCACATGTGCACGTTAAAGATTGGTACTTCCTCTCGTTTTTCTCTGTTTTTTTTTTTTTTTTTTTTTTTTGGGGGGGGTTCACTTGCTGTTTTTTATTGAAGGAATAATCTACTTGAACCAGAGGATATAAGATCTCACTCTCTAATCCTAATAGCAACGGAAAATCTCATCCAAGTACGTGAATGGGAACCAGTACTTGGCTGTATTTGACAGTACCCATGGATGCGTCAGGCAATTTCAAAGCCAGGACGCTAGTTGATGCCTTCTTGAGGGGCTCAAAACCGTGTTAGCTTTATCATGCAAAAAGCATTCTTCCCAGTTTTGTCTTCCAATGGCCTTGCAATGATTCAGTAACCCTTTACATAGCATAGTTAATATCCTGTATGACCCTAGAAACGTTGAAGCTTCTTGGCACTGGCTGGTGGAGGCCAATTCTGCCTCCTAATCTTCTCTAGATCAGGTCCGACTCTCTGTGATAAACTCTACAGGGTTGCAATTTTTTTGCAATGCCTTGACTAGTTCTTCCCGATAGAGATTGTTGCAGTCATTATTGATCCAGGCTAAAAGAATCCGATGCATGACCTTCAAGATACATGGTTGCTATATCCGCCTAAAAGTCGTCTAGTGTTTGATAGTGATGAAAGTACTTCTCAGCTCTGAGAATTCATTCACGAGTATCTCCTCCACCAGAACTCAGGGAAATCTGTTTTTGTGCAAGCTAAGTGTGATAGATTTATTTATTTATTTATTTATTTTTTTAGTAAAATACACCTTTTACTTTCAAATTCCTGTTCTTTCTCTGCCCAGTGGAAATACTGCCTACCAGAATAACTGGATGGTGGGGTTTCGCCCTTGCCATTAGTGTCCTGCGCAGGAGCTATCCTCTGCAACCAGTGCACTAATGGCTTCCAGCTTTGATGTTATCAAAAGAGCAGTTCTTTGAGAGGGTTAGAAGTGGGTTGATGGATAGATTGATGGATCTTGCGGAACATTAATGGAATGAGTGGGCACCATTTGGATCAAGGAGGTTTTGGCACCAAAATGATAAGGATAGACTTTAGAACTGAATATTTTTTCAAGGAACAATTTACTAGAAACTGTTGAGCAAGGATCTCACTCTATTCGTAATAGCCATGGAGAATCTTCTCAAAGTTCATAAATGACAATACCTATGACTAGCCTCTTTTGACTGTACTTATGACCGCTTTTTATAATGCTTGGAAATAAACACTATAATAAAATAGCCATAAAATTGGAAATTGGAAACTGGGTGTTAGTGTTCAAAGTGATGTGTGCCATCTGCCATGCTAACTCTCCCGTTTGCACTACATTCTTCACTCTCTGCATTGTCCCCTTCCTTTTGCTGACCATATTCACTGCTTTGACCTTGTTCTCCATGCAACTTTCTTCATATTCTATGCTTATGAGACACACCCTGTCTAGACTTTCTAATACTATCTCCATTTTTTTTACCCTCATCTCTCTTATTCCCTTGATAAACTTCCTCCTAATTTTGTCATTGCCTCTCATTGTTACTGGGATTTGTTTATCTCATTTTATTTATCTTAATCTATCTTAGGATAGATGACTGATTTGTATCACCAATCAAATGTGATCTTCTGATTATTCCATGGCCTTTATCCCTTTTAATTTTTTTTACAAATCCATTTAATGTTATAATTATCCCTCAAAGTCTCCTTTGCTTTGAGTCCCCTTGTATTGTTTATTGATTGGATCTGCCAAGATTTGAAATGATGGTTCAATTTTGTTGTAGGCGCAGACAGTGAAGGACCATGGTTTATGCCAGATATATTAGTCAATGTGCGCCGTGCTGGAGAGGAATCTATTGTGGGAATTATAAGAGAGGTGCTTGCGGTATGTTCACATCATTCAAAGATTGCTTGAATAAATTTTTCGCATGTACTTAAGCTTGAAGATTGGTTATGCTGACATTTTAACTGGATGGTCTTGACTTTTGTCCATCCTCTCTTGAGGGATGATTTCATCCAAAATGGTTATACTACCTCCGTTTTTTAATACAAGAGTTTGTTTGATTTTTAATTTGGTCATAAATATAAAATTCCAATCCATTTTGTATCTCATACTTATTCATTTTTTGCAAAATAATTCTTGTAGTAGTTTGACATGTTAAATATTATATCAGTGTAGCTCTAGCTAAAATACATGATTAGGAAGGGTATTCTAGGAAATTCAACTCATATTTGTTATAAATAACTGACTAAACAAATTTTCTTAATTTACTCAAATTAGTTAGTGTAACTTGCTTTTTAGAGCACATCCACTAATTTCAGTTGTATACTTTGACATGAGTGGTTTGTCTTTAATTTTGTTTCCTAGTAACTCGTTCCGTCTTTTATACTGTGTTTCAGGATGGATCTTGCAGGGTAGTCTTGGGATCAAGTGGAAATGGTGAAACAATAACGGCTCTTCCCAGCGAAATGGAGGCTGTGGTACCCAGGAAATCAGACAAGATAAAAATTATGGGTGGGGCTTTGCGTGGTGCCACGGGCAAGTTGATTGGGGTAGATGGCACTGATGGTATTGTAAAGGTAGATGATACACTGGATGTGAAGATTTTAGACTTAGTCATTCTAGCTAAATTAGCTCAATCGTGATTAGTCTCATGTACACAATAATTTTTTTAATGCCATATCGTTTTTGCCCTCATATTTGTGTCCTCCTCTCTCCCCCACTCTTCCCCTCGCCCCCTTTCTCTCTCGCTGCTTACACCTTCACGATCTCTTTTTCCCACCTGAGTAGTGTGTATATAAGGGGCGAATATTGTATTTTAGTAGTTTTCACACAACAGATATAGACACTGGTACATTTAGGTATCTAAAATTATATGCTGTCGGATTGTGGTATAAGATTACACTATGATTGAATAATGTCTTATTAATTTGGGAAGATAAATGTGCCTTCCCTTCTAAATCCTTGAAAGTAAATGTGTAGTATGTCCATTCTTGCTGATGAATCTATATGCGCGTGACGGGCGATTAAAGTAAACGGGTGAGAGAGAATTGACTCGAACGGATGGCTAACACCCAGCCCCGGCCTCCGAGCCACGAGGATGAGTTTGATCAGCTAGGCTTCCGCCCTCATTGTATGCCAAAAAATTTGATCTTTGATCACTTAAATGAACGTCGAAACCATCTCCAAGACGACAGGCCTTTAGAGAAGATGAAGTTGTCCATTGGTGCCGCATTCACAATATGCATATATCCTCCGGCCGGCAGATAAAGATCACACAAATCACACGCCGTGGGACAAGGTTTGTCGCATGTTAACCGACTTTGGTACAATATTTATTGTAATAACTTAATGAGAAAGTTTGTCAAAAACATAATTCATTTGATAAACAAAAATGACTTGATCAGAAGGACAAAATGGTAATGAATCTAATAATAAACGTTTATTCCACATTTGGGATATGAGAGCGTGGAAATGGAAGTGAAAAGGGGTGGAACAAGTGGAAGTGGTGGGTTCCAAATGGGAAAGTGAAAAGTACCAATTGAGACGACAGACTTTTAACCAAAGTTGAAATGGTCTAATCATGTCCACCCTTCCCAATCCATTATTCTCTCTTCCTCTCCATCAAACAAGCATCATGAACAAACAACAAACACTAGATGGGACAATTTTTGCCTCTTATTCACCAACACTCCTTCCCCACTCACCACTCTCTCTCCCCCCCTCCCTCCTAGTTTTCTGCATAGCTTTGGTGACAAACAAACTAGAACCTCATTAACGGTAAGCAAATCCCTACATTGACCTCATTAACTTAACTCTAGTTGGGTGAATATAGAGTTCCTTGTATGAAATTAAAAAATGGAGCAACACAACGTACTTAATTATCTGCTCTTTTCGTGATTCTAATAAATCAGACACACAAAGGAGTGTGGGATGGTGTTTTCTTTTTGCCCGCCGAAGAGCTACATCCAGCAAAGATACCAAAGTGATTGTTATTTGTTGAAACATCCCAGCATCTCACGTTCTTAGGTTCTTATAGGAACTGTTTCACTTGCAGAAATGTAGCCGCAAAATGACAAATGGGACTGGACATTTGTCTATCTATCTATTGTTTCCAATCTTAAACTAAAATATTTCGAGGAAAACTTTGCTGAGACCAACATGTGGTCACAAATAACCTATTGCCAAATGCCAAGCCCCAAGCTTTAAAAGTAGTGAATGAAGTGCTAATTTTCATAATTGAACATGAATTAAAATTGGTGTGTTGAAAATAATTAGAGTAGCAACAAACTATAGCCATACTGTGTATTTTCGCGTTGCTTTCCGGATTTCAACGGGCAATAATTATATTTATTTACTTTTTCGGATAATTAAGACACACACTCATGTATGTATATATGAAGAAACATATTGCGCAACAATCTCATGAGAGCCTAATTAATGTTTGGAGCAAGTAATACAAACTCCGATATTCTACCGAAAAATTTGGCATATAATATAAGAGATTTGGTAAGAATTGAGAGAGAGAGAGAGAGAGAGAGAGAGAGAGAGAGAGTAATAACAGGGAACAATGCAGCTGTCAAAAACCATTGCTCAACTGACACATACGACCTTCATCCATAAAGTTTCTGTCCTTGATCCTTATCTATAAAAAGAAAACAAAAGTTTCATTATGAAAATTGTTCTGTAAAAAGGTTACAAAAATAAGTATTAATTAAAAATGATCATGTTAAATTATTCTTTCGCAGTAGAATTATTATTGTTTTCCATCATATGGTTGTAGGCTGTTATATATGTACGCTGTATCTGATTCAAAGGGATGGAGGAGCAGAGTTTTATTACGATGAAAGAGGTTGAGGATTGCGCAATAAATATTGCCATGCACGTTGAAAATAATTAAGTCATAAAAATAAGAAAGAAATGTATATAGGAAACAAACGTGCAACATTTCAATGATTAAAACCCTAACAACAAGCAATTGATTACCACTATATATGTGCCAATGGCCAAGCAAAACACCTACCAAGTAAATCAACAATGTTGGGGAGGGCAAAGCAGTACTACACAAGAAAAATGGAGTATATAAACCCTATCTGCTTAACGCTATGTGTCTTCATTATAAATTACTTCTACTTACTGGGGTTTCGATAGGCCTGAAAAAGATGATAACATGGGGTGATTTCTACAAAGTGATGAGTGCAATGGTGCCTCTATACTTCTCCATGTTGGTGGCTTACGCTTCGGTGAAATGGTTCAACGTTTTTACCAGCGCCCAGTGCTCCGGCATCAACCGCTTTGTGGCGGTGTTCGCCGTCCCTGTTCTCTCCTTCCACTTTATTTCTCGTAACAATCCCTACCAAATGGACTCTCAGTTCCTATTAGCAGACACTCTCTCCAAGCTCTCCCTTCTCTTCTCCCTCTCTCTCTGGCTCCTCTTCTTCCGCTCTGCAACCTTGGATTGGCTCATCACCCTCTTCTCTCTCTCCTCTTTGCCCAACACTCTTGTTATGGGCATTCCCTTACTCCAAGCCATGTACGGCCATTTCACCCATTCCCTCATGGTCCAACTTGTCGTGCTCCAATCTATCGTCTGGTATATATATATACGCACACCTTCCCATGCATATCCTTCCGTTGTATTATCTCGCATATCATGATATAATCCTATGTAATTAATGTATAGTATCTTGTATGCTTCATATCATGTAAAGATGATTAGTATATCAAAAAAGCATTTATATACTTTAGGACAGTTTGACAATGGCTGCATATATAAGAGAAATCACATTCATATAATGGATCTAATTTCAGGTACACCCTGCTGCTATTCTTGTTCGAGTATAGAGCTGCCACCTTTTTGATTCGGAGCAAGTTTCCTGGACCTACAGCGGCCTCCATCGTAAAATTTGAGGTGGACGGCGACGTCATCTCCCTGGACGGTCGTGACGTGCCGCTTCGAACCGAAACTGAAACTGACAGCCATGGACGCATCCGAGTCCGTATCCGACGATCCACGTCCTCTGCTCCTGACTCCACGTTATCTTCGTCCGTTGGCCTCGCCACTCCCAGACTGTCCAACGCAGAAATCTTCTCCGCTAATACACCACTCCATCTGCTTCAGTCACACCACGCCGGCGCGGCCGAAGACATCAGATTCGGATACCCGACCGGGAGCCCACGGGTAATAGATTACGCGACGTCGTCAGATGCCTGCTCCCTCCAGGCCACGCCACGGGCGTCTAACTTCAACGAATATGAAATGACGATGCCAAGGAGCCCACCGTTATGGACGACATCTCCGGCGAGCGGTGGGAGGAATTACCAACAGTTGTCGCCGGGGATGTGTCAGGGCGGAGACGGACCAGGATGCCGAGAAATCACCGTGTCAGGTACGTGCGTATGGTGTTGTGAACTTTGTGTCGTTTAGGGGTTTGGGGAGGGAACAATATATGATCGCTGCAGTCGCATGCTTGGCACATTAGTTTGGAACCAAGTCAAATGTGAGGCATTGTGGCTGTTTCAGGTGTACCTTTTTGTGTGAGTTGTGTCTCCAATTTCTATGGTCATGTGCAATGTCTTTGTCTTTTTCATGAATTTTTAGCATGGGTTGCTCGTTTTAGACTTCAAGTGCATTTTTCATCTACTTTCAGACTTTGCTGCATCTCGTTGCTCCTCCTTTTTCACTCGCTTTCACTTAAATTTATACCTAAGTTGGTCATTTTTCAAGTGAACAAACTATTTGAAATTCCATGGTTCGTTGTTTTTTTTTTTGTCTCATCTAATACTATACTACCTCCGGTCCTAATTATAAGAGCCAGTTGACTAATTTGAGAAGATTAGGGAAGTAAGTTGAGTTAGTTATTTGTCTTAAATAGGTGTTGTCTTTCCTGAAATATCCTTATTAATTAAGTATATTAACTAGAATTATTATTATTAGAAGGGTTACTTTGGAAAAAATATATAAATATGAGAAACAAAGTGGATTGGGGTCTTATATTTAGGATCAAAATAAAAGTCAAATAGGATCTTATATTAAGGACATGAGGTAGTACTATAAAACACCAAAACAAAAATCTGAAATCGCTTTTAGATATTGAAATTATTGTAGAGAATAAACACGAATGACGAAATATCCATGAATAGTGAATCTCCTCTAGCAGCTGCGTCATTTAATTTAGATCACAGAGTTGTTTAATTTGTTAAAGAAAATGCACGAGCACGGGTAAGATACTGTGCGAACAAGAACTTCAGAATGATTTTTGTGGAGCATTATTTTAATAAAATGATGCGTACTTTTGAAACAGTTGATTATATCAACACATTTTCACTGTGCAACGCCGTGTGTAGTTTCTATAAGATCCTGAAACAGCCTTTACTGAGAAGCTTCATTGATATATGTAGCCATCATATCGGAGACAGCACGTGTGTAATGATGAAGGAAGCCATTTTAATTAGTCCCTATAGTTGGAGGTTAAAATAAGTATGAAATCCTTACACCTATAACACCGAATCATGGGAACCTATAATTTAATTTCTTGCCTGATAATGTTGTCTCTGGAGATCAAATTATTTTCAAACAATATTATTCCGTGGAGTGCGTGGGTGCTGAAAGTTCAATTATTAGGCTGGCTGAATGTTTTCTCGTCGGTTGTTTTCAAATATCTGCGTTTATATTTAATTAATTAGATTACTATATTGATGATGTGCGCTATTTTTGGATATATTATCAAAGAGAAAGAAATTAGCTTCAGAGACATCACCGATATTCCAATGTTGGAGGAAGGAGGTGCCAAAGATACAGTGGGAACAAACCAGAAGATGCCACGAGCTCTGGTAATGATGAGACTTATACTTAACGTTGTAGGAAGGAAACTGCTGCGGAACCCTAATACATATTCTAGCGTGTTAGGCTTGGTTTGGTCTCTTATCTCTTTCAAGTAAGTGACTTATTAAGCCTACACCAAGTTTTAATAATTAATTATAGCACCTATGTGATTAAAAAACGATGATCCTTTTGAATTAATTAATGTGAATTTGCAGATGGAATATAGGGATGCCTAGCCTGGTCAATTCATGTGTTGAAATAGTTTCGGACGCCGGCCTTGGAATGGCTATGTTCAGCTTAGGTAGGTAGAAATTAAATTTGACATTCTGAAACATGTAAATATATATATATGTTGAGAGTTAATTGTTTCCATGGATTCATATATATAATTGTCATGTCCCATGAAGGGGGTGTTTGGCAAAACCAAAACCTAGGTTTCAGAATCACTTTTCCGCAAAACGAGATAACCTTCTCCACATATTTATTTCATAATCCGTAAAAGCACTTCTGAAACCATGGTTTGGTTTCTATCCAAACACCCCCGAAAATTAAGGTTGTCTTAGAATATATTGATATTATACATTTATATATAAGGAAAAATTATAATCAAGTTCCATAGAAGAGAGATAGTTACCAAAAGGTCCCAATAACAGCCTCAACAACCTATAATGTTTTATAGTGAAAATGACAACCTCTGAAACTTGTTTTTTAATGGTTTTTTTTGCTTGGGATCTCATTGTAATTCTCATATAATATATGATGCATGCAGGTCTATTCATGGCACTTCAGCCTCGGATCATAGCGTGTGGCGCCAAAAGAGCAGCCATGGGAATGGCCCTACGCTTCCTCTTGGGGCCTCTTGTCATGGCTGCCGCCTCTGTCGCCATTGGATTGAGAGGACCCAAGCTACGAGCTGCCATTGTGCAGGTACTTATTATAGTATAGATACAAAGACGTACGTTAATTAGTTAATTTCTGAGCTAATTAAAGTTGCTAATTATGAATTAACTTTTTGGTTTGTCAGGCTTCTCTTCCACAAGGGATCGTGCCTTTTGTATTTGCAAGGGAATATGGAGTACATCCTGATATCTTGAGCACTGGGTACGTCAATTCTGGAATATACTCGTATAGGTTGATAATCACAGGGGAATGACTTGAATATTTAGACATATCGAAATTGGATAAGTAAGCTCTAATTTAATAAAGCCCTTCAAGAGGCGCAGAATTGACGTCGCTTAAAAAAAAAAATCTAAGCCATAACTAAGCCCACAAAATCAATCACACACAGACACATTCCATGTTCAATCGGCGCGCACGGGCTAGGTATTGTTGATGCTGCATGCATGACGTCACGACCCTGCTGTCTCAAAAACGATGGTAATTAATTAACTGGTTAATGATATAATATTTGGGAACATACGTGGAGCATGGATGATGTACTTTAGAGGGTGGCCAGGTGGATATCCGATAAAGTCAGAAAGGGTATCATGGGCGGACACACATGATAGGAAACACTCGACTTTGAATCGAGCCCACGCGTAAATAATTAATTATGATTATAATATGTACCTATTTTAATTCCCAAACTGAATCTTTCTAATACTTTGTGCAGAACAGCCGCTACTTAGATTATTGTCTGCGCTTTCATGCATGCTGATTAATTCATTTAATTGCCTTCTTCTGGATGATGTGTTATTAACAATAATTAACCCTAGCTAGCCAGCTAGCCTGATGATTACTTTGATGTTTGTTTTTTTGTTTTGTGAATATATATGCAGGGTTATCTTTGGCATGTTAATTTCTCTACCAGTGACGCTCCTATATTACGTATTTCTTGGCCTTTGAAGACGACCACCAATGATAACAGCAGCTAGTTGTCAATAAATTGATGAAAGCGCCGGAAGCAATATGCATGTCCACTACAATATATATGTAGCTAGCCAGCTAGGAGAGCTGTTCTCAGAGTACTGTGATTATGTCTGTGTGACTGTTTAATTTGCCTGTGTTTATCTCACAAGTCATAGTAGCATTGACCAATTATGAGTAGATATTTGGGTTTAGCAGCTTTTTCTTTTTTGGTTTTTTTTTTGGGCAGAAAAAGAGTCAATGGTTTAACAATTAATTACCAGACATACATAGACCATATATATGTATGAATGGTTGCAGTGTGTTGTCACCAACAACAGAGAGGGTTAATTAAGTTGGGTAATTAGGCCAAGACTCCTGGAACGCAAAAGCAAAGGGCTGTGGTTGCCGTTATGCGGGGAAGACTCTACAACTGAAGAAACAGGCAACCATTTTATTGGTCCTTGGTTCTTGGGGCTCCTACCACACATATATCAGTAGCAGCCCAATGGAAAAGGGATATTATCATGTTGATGATACGCAACACAGTATTTTCAAGTCTTCATCCCCTGTTTTATATCCAGTCCTATAGTCTGTCTTCGTCGTCTCTTATTATATCTAATGAGTTTTGCATGCAAAATGCCAAATGATGATGATAACGCGGTATGGAAGTTGATGGCTGGGAGACGGCTAACATTTCTCGGGTTTCACAGCCGTTGATCTCCTTCACGGTCATTGGGTTCGCCGGTTTGGGATGTTCAGACAATCCCGGCGCCTTTTTTTTTGGGCCATTGGCCTTACCCAAATACAATCGCCCAAACGCAATCGCGGACCCACGGTCCCAACCCAACAACCCAAAGCAAGCAACATGGCGCTAAACTATATACGCACGGTTAACGGCATCAACAATACTACCTCCAATTCCCAATTTTTGGATTAAAGATATTGTTTTTCAATAAGTTAATAACTAATCAATTCCCTACGTGCTGGGATTCACCTCTAATTTTCTAACTGGAAAAAAAAAATCAAAGTGATTTAATGTTGCCGACAATAGAAAAATATAATGGTTCAAGTCGGGTCATAAAGACACTGTTATTAAGAGATATTCTGCAACTCTTCTGTGACTCAGGAAGAAACACTCACTAGGATTAAATTAACCCTTTTCGTAGGAAAGCACGGTTACAAAACAACGGAAAGAAAAACAATTCAAGAGGGTAAGATCACAAGAGAAGACATGAGGCAACAGCACAATGCTTGTGCTCCCTTACCATGCCTTTAGAGGTAACATAAAAAAATAATAATAATAATACTACTACTACTTTTGAAATAGTTGCGGGCACTTAGCGTGAGCATATAGTCTTGGCATGCACTGATGCAAGCAGGCGCCATACCATGCATAATAGGTTAATGACTCCTCTGAGCCTAATAACCCTGTTTGGAGCCAAGAAAACGAAAGTCACGCATAATCTCCTCGTTTTATAAGTTATAACTCACTGCGAAATAAACTTTACTATTTTTCTTAAAAGATTGTTTTCTTACAAGAATTCTACATTTTTACCTCCGTGAGAGGTTATACGGGAACGTGGCGTTTCTGAAAGCGACAAAAATGTGCAGTGTTAAAGTAGGTAACAAGGCAAGGCATAGGACCGTGAATCATAACATGATAGAAACTTTGGTACAGAAAATTACAAAACAAGAATGCCTCCCACCAAATCCCCCCGAAATAATGGCGGTCAATATCTGGGCCCACCATCTCCTTCAATTTGGGGGACATTTTGCATTTCTCATTGGACACGTTTGATCAGACTTACCTGGACCCCCCGAATGTTACACCTCATAAAAGATCTCAAATAATGTAGCTCAACTATAAGTGGAGGAATGAGGAATCAAGTTCCCCGTTGCCGCACTGGTGATCAGCACTCAGTTTTATTCGTTGATTTAATAAATGAATCCTTGTTAACTGCCAAAAAGAAAAAACACTATTATTAATATAAGAACTAATTTAATTTTTAATTTGATTTTAAATATAAGACTCTAATTCACTTTATTTCTAATATTTATCTATTTTTTTTCAAAATAATCCTTATAGTAGTTGCACATATTAAATGTTTCATTAAATGAAACTTCATTAGTAAAAGTATTATAGAGAAGACAATACATATTTATTATAAATAACTAATTTAATTAATTTTTTTAATTTATTCAAACCAGTCAACTAGTTTTTATATTAAAAACCAGTACTTTTCTTTTTTTGTGTTCCATTTGGCGAAAAAAAAATCATATATCAAACAAGCCCCCGGTAACAAATTGCCCTATAGATTATTTAATCGGTGGTGTTATTATGTGTTTTCAGAGGTCAAGCCGACTGGTTTCCTTGTTGCTCTTTGGATTATTATTCTTATTTCTGCTTAACCGGGTGTGACGCTGAAAAATATGTTCAATGAAAACAGAACCTCAAGTTGAAACCAAGGAATCCTACGTGGCGTGGTCTAAGGAAACCAAGGCGCTGTTGGAGAGAGACCACTCGGGACTTCTTATTGGACATCACAGAGCGAATTCCACCTCCTGACCACGCCGCAACACCAGAGCGGTATTGCCTTTCCAAGTCCTTCCTCTCATTTTATTTTATTTTTAAATTCGGGGCTCTCTCTAGGCGGCAAAAGTGGCCAAGTGGGCAGGGAGAGAAGTACGTCTCAAGATTCTCTTCACCGCCCTCTGCCGCACTGATGTTTACTTCTGGGAAGCCAAGGTCTTTCTCTTATTTCATTTCATTACCTATCATTACGCATCTTTCTTCCTATGTCGAACACGAATCTTACTATTATTATATATATAATGTTATCCTCCATTGACAGGGACAAACTCCGTTGTTCCCTCGTATATTTGGCCACGAAGCCGGAGGATATGTTCCCTCACTTTCGTATGCATCTCGCGTTGAATATAAATTCCTTTAGCTTAGACAGAACTTATCTACATTTGGATCGTGGTATTGTATTCAGGAATGTGGAGAGCGTAGGGGATCGGAGGGAGTGGCTCATCTGAAACCAGGAGATCATACTCTTCCGGTGTTCACAGGCGAGTGCGGAGAGTGCCCACAATGTAAGTCGGAAGAAAGCAACATGTGCGATCTTCTGAGGATCAACAAGGACAGGGTTGTTATGATCAACGACGGCAAATCCAGATTCTCAAAGAACGGACAGCCATTATACCATTTTGTGGGAACTTCCACATTTAGCGAGTACACTGTTGTGCATGCTGGATGTGTTGCTAAAATTAACCCTGCTGTTCCTCTAGACAAAGTTTGTGTTCTCAGCTGCGGAATCTGCACAGGTTTTATAGCCTTTTCCCCCTTCCTTCAACGTAACATGCATATTAATCTTTGGACGAAGTCGCAATAATACAATTTGCTGATTGATTCCTCTGTTCTTGTAGGATTTGGTGCTACTGTGAATGTTGCAAAACCAAAACGCGGTTCATCTGCTGCCGTCTTCGGGTTTGGAGCCGTTGGCCTCGCTGTACGTTAATCACTGCCTTTTCCCTCTTTTTTGTGGCGTTTAGTTTTTCAGCAGTTCACACTCAAATATCTACATTATCTCCTGATCACATTTTGTAATCTAAATTTCAAGCAGCTGAAGGGGCAAGAGTTTGCGGTGCATCTAGAATTATCGGGGTTGATTTAGTTTCCAGCCGTTTTGAGGGAGGCACAATTCATATCCTCAGAAGAGACCCCTCACATCTAATCAAATAACGCAATATATAGACATATAGATATAATGATGGTGTGTTTTTAATCTTTATTGGCAGCCAAGAAGTTTGGAGTGAATGAGTTTATGAACCCAAAAGATCATGACAAGCCTGTACAAGAGGTGCGTGCCTAGATAAACCGGTTGGATCATTGATAAATAGAATCTCCCAACAAATCATAGCTAACTAATTGTTTTGGTTGTGTAACAGGTAATAGCTGAAATGACCAATGGAGGTGTGGATCGTGCAATTGAGTGCACTGGGAGCATCCAGGGCATGATCTCAGCATTTGAATGCGTCCACGATGTACCTATTCAGAACTCGTCTGCTTTCTAATTGTTAAAAAGTCATCATAATAGATAGGCCAGCTACGAAGCCAGAGCTGCCGTAAATGGTTGTTGTGTGTAGGGATGGGGTGTGGCTGTACTAGTTGGAGTGCCAAACAAAGATGATGCGTTCAAAACTCATCCAGTGAATTTCTTGAATGAGAGGACTCTGAAGGGCACCTTCTATGGCAATTATAAGCCCCGCTCTGACGTGCCTTCTGTTGTGGAGATGTACATGAAAGGGTTGAGTCAATTGTGAATTGTATTGTATGGTGCTTGAATTCAATTGTGTCATCAAATATGTTGCTGATGACCGGTGTGAGATGTTACGATGAAATTGCAGGAGCTGGAAGTGGACAAGCTCATCACTCATTCCGTCCCTTTCTCAAGAGATCATCAAGGCATCTGACTACATGCTCAAAGGGGAGTCCATCAGGGGCATCATTCGCATGGAAGATTAGAATAATAATTTGGATTAGTGCGTGCTGTGAGAATTGAGTTTTCCCTGTGGCTGTGAAGAAGAATCGGGTTTCATGGACATGTACAGTTCATCAGTTCCTGGTGTATTTCATCAAATTTGTGCGGTATCTCATTTTGTTGTTAAGTAAAACACATTGTAATATATATGATTGTATGCATTATCATCTATTGTACCATATGATATGATATTTGTTTGATACTCTACTAGTAAACATCCCTGCGTCATCCTGCCTAAAGTAACTCAACCCATTCTCTAGGTGGAGCTTGCATGAGAGCATGTATATGTGGCATATTAGCCAGCTGGTGCTGAACAGTGAACAGTCCTATATTTGGTCATTGTTGAACTTATATCAAGTTACTATTTAGATAAAAAATCATGATTTAAAATTATAGAGACTAAAACTAAAATACGATCAAATTATGAGCATCAATATAATAGTATTAACCCTTATTATTTAATATACCAAAACTCTTGCTAATATATATTCTGGAGAGAATAATTTTTCTCACATTCCTCGGATTCCAAAGGAGGCGGGGGAACCGGCATGCCTTGCAGTTTGCCAGAGAAATCTATCCGCCATTGGGCATCACCTTTTGATAATCCAGTGCATTTTAATGTGGCGTCCCTTCAAAGCAGTTTTATTTTTTGCCAACTTGAAAGCAGTTTTTTTCTATATATGTATATACTCGTATTTTTCTTTGTCATCGGATACATCCGGTCATATCACACTTACCTGGGGTACACTTTTTTTTTTTTGGGGGGGCAACCTGGGCTACATTATACTACTTTGGTATAAGATCTCAAATTAATTTAGTAATACAGATACCGATGGACGAATCACGAATCAGGTTCCCCGTTTCCAAATTGGCAATCAGTTTGGTTTGATTCTGGGAACTTATTTGATTTAATTAATACATGAAATTTTTTTAATTGGAGGAACCTGTGTGCTTATCTGTCTCGTGACCCTCGCCCGATATGGGTGTCTGGCGTAATGTTCTTTCCTTTTGCTTTCCCACTCCTTTCCCCCCTTTTAACCATTAAATTAATACAGAGATCATTTAGATTTAGATATTACTCTCTTTAATCCTTTTTATAAAATAAAATAAATGCATTATTAAATAAAAAAGTATTTAAAATTAATTAGAGATAATAAATATGTAAAAAAAATACAACTTCTTTTTCAAAACACTCATTATTTAGGGAGACTGGAGAATGAGAAAGTGAGTATTATTAATAGAGACATAAATAAAAATGATATTAAATATTTTTAATCACAATTGATAGTTGTGAACTGTTGGCACCAAATTAATAATTTAAATTTAATAATATATTTTTTTGCCATCTTAATAATAATTTTATAAAATATCTTTTTTGCCGTTTGGAAGTGTAAATTAAATAAAGGGATGTTTAATATCACCACCATCACCATAAAAAAAAAAAAAAAGTTTTTGCCAATACCAGTTCAACCATGTCAAAGTCTTGCTACTGGACAAAAATGCAACGTTGCATTCGCGTTTTTGGGTTGGCTTATGGCTGGTAGTAGTTGATCTTAATTTTTAAACCATACTTGTGCTTAAAAAATAATTATATTTTATTTCAAAGAAACTCAATCACAATATAATTTACTCTTTAGATTATTACTTATTTAGTAGACGCCTAGCAAGTGGCGACGCTCATCCCTGAGGCGTGTTGTTTTTCAACCGTGGGAAATTGAATGACATGTAAACGTACTTTTATTTAATTTACACTTCCAAACGGCCAAGCCAAACCTGTGTTCACGGGGGTCAACACGATCAGTTCCCTGTTTGCCCTGGTATTTTATTTTTTAATTTTATTTTTCCCCGGATGCTCCGCTTTGATGGACCAAGGGGTGAAGCAGACACAGGATCTCATAAGTAAAAACATAATCTCAAGTCGAAACCAGGGAAGGCAACGTGGCAAAACCAAGGCGCCGTTGGGAGAACCACTCGCCTTTCCAAGTCCTAACCCCTTCATCTCAATTTTTTTAAAACAAAAAAAACATTCCACAGTTCATTTCGGGTTCTCTCTCGGCTTCACAAGTGGCCAAGTGGGCATCTCTTTCCGCCTGTATATATAGCTTTCACAGGTCTCTGCTTTCCCCACATCACACCAGCTTTCAACAATTTCTCACTATTATCATCGACCTTCGTACTCACTGCTCACAAACAACTATGTCTAGCACAGCTGGTCAGGTTATCAAGTGCAGAGGTCAGTCTTCAATACTAGATCGCAATTCCCCCCCCCCCCCCCGGGTTTTTGTTGATGCTTTCCTCGGATGGTGACACGCTTCTCTCTGCTTCATTCGGGAATGTCAAGTGATTTTTTGAAAAATTATTTTAACTGCTTCGTTTTGGATTCCGATCCTATGTATTCATCTATAAGTGTCTGATTTCAGGGGATGTATTTTCGAAAAGATCCACGTTATATGTGTGCTTTTATATACTGATTTGTTTGTGCGGAATTGGTGAAATGTAGCTGCTGTGGCTTGGGAAGCAGGGAAGCCTCTGTCGATCGAAGAGGTAGAGGTAGCGCCTCCGCAGGCCGGAGAAGTGCGTCTCAAGATTCTCTTCACCCCCCTCTGCCATACTGATGTTTACTTCTGGGAAGCCAAGGTCTTTTCTTATTTCATTGCCTATCATTGGAATTGGATTCTCTCCACATAATTTTCCCATCCTCTTCCCCTCCACTACCCTCCTTTTCTCTTCACAACTTTGAATCAAAATTCCAATGTCCAGATTTAATATGTTATAACTTTTATGAAATAAATATTATGATAAAATAGATAAATAATTTTTAAACTGTTAAAATCTAATCTGAACAGTTGTATAACTACAACTGTTATTATAAAGCAATTTTTTAATTTTTTTTATTAAATTAAAAACTGTTCAGAACAGATTTAACAGTTTAAATTTTTTTTTTAATAATATTATTTTTATAAGATGTTAAATCGAATTATGGAATTTTGATCCAATGGTTGTGAAGAGAAAAGAAGGTAGTGGAGAGGAAAGAGGATGAAAGGTAGTGGAGAGGATACAGTCCGCCTATCATTACGCCTCCTTTTCCCTATCTCGAACATGAATCTTTATTATTATTTTTTCCTCCATCGACAGGGACAAACTCCGTTGTTCCCTCGTATATTTGGCCACGAAGCCGAGGGTTGTTCCTTACCTTTCGTACGCATCTCGTGTTGAATATAAATTCCTTCAGCTTCAACAAACTTATCTACATTTGGATCGTGGTATTATATTCAGGATTGTGGAGAGCGTAGGAGAGGGAGTGACTCATCTGAAACCAGGAGATCATGCTCTTCCGGTATTCACAGGCGAGGGTGGAGAGTGCCCACACTGTAAGTCGGAAGAAAGCAACATGTGCGATCTTCTGAGGATCAACACGGACAGGGGTGTCATGATCAACGACGGCAAGTCCAGATTCTCCAAGAACGGACAGCAATATACCATTTTGTGGGAACTTCCACATTCAGCGAGTACACCGTGGCGCATGCTGGGTGTTTGCTAAGATTGACCCCGCTGCTCCTCTTGACAAAGTTTGTATTCTTAGCTGCGGAATCTTCACAGGTTTTCCCTTGCTTCAACAAGCATATCATCACGTTGGATGAAGGAGGCGACACAGTTTTTCTGATTGATTCCTTTATTCTTGTAGGATTTGGTGCCACGGTAAATGTTTGCAAAACCGAAGCCTGGTTCCTCTGTAGGATTTGGTGCCACGGTAAATGTTGCAAAACCGAAGCCTGGTTCCTCTGTTGCCATTTTTGGATTGGGAGCTGTTGGCCTCTCTGTATGTTTGTAGCCTTGTTCAGTTTCTTAAGCAGTTCATGATTAGACGGCTGTGTTACGTGCTGACACATTTCCGAATCTAAATTTGTAGGCTGCTGAAGGGGCAAGGGTTTCTGGGGCATCCAGAATTATCGGGGTTGACTTAATGTCCAGCCGTTTTGAGAAAGGTACGGCTCATATTTCAGGAAGGACTTAGTGCATCTAATTAATTGCAATCAATATACTGATGGTAGTTTAATTATGTTCTTAATGTTATTAATATTGCAGCTAAGAAGTTTGGGGTCAATGAGTTGAGTTTGTGAACCCAAAAGATCATGACAGACCTGTTCAAGAGGTTAGTGCATACGTGGATAAAGAGTTGGGTTGGTTGTGTGATAAATAGAGTCGCCTATCACTGTCACATGATAGTAATTAACCTGGTTTTAGTTGCGAACACTCAACAGGTAATAGCTGAAATGACAAATGGGAGGAGTGGACCGTGCGGTCGAGTGCACTGGGAGCATCCAGGCCATGATCTCGGCATTCGAATGTGTCCACGATGTACTTATTCTAAACTCATCTGCTTGCTAATTGGTAAACATTAATTAAAAGTCATATAATTAACTGTGGAAACGGTATACGGTGCGCAGGGATGGGGTGTGGCGCGGTACTGGTTGGAGTGCCAAACAAGGATGATGCATTCAAACACTCATCCAGTGAATTTCCTGAACGAGAGGACTCTGAAGGGCACCTTCTACGGCAATTACAAGCCGCGTTCTGATGCGCCTTCTGTTGTGGACATGTACATGAGAGGGTAAGTCTTCTTCTGGTTGAATGAAATTTTTACTCTCAACTTTCTTGTGTTATCTCTGTGGTGGTGGGTGTGATCTTGGGATGAAATTGCAGGAGCTGGAACTGGAGAAGTTCATAACTCATTCTGTGCCTTTATCGGAGATCAACAAGGCATTTGACTGCATGTTCAAAGGCGAGTCCATCAGGTGCATCATTCGTATGCAAGAGTAAACCATGTGTGCCGTCAGGATCAGAGTTTTCTTTGTGGGTGTGAAAAACACGAATAAATTAGCTTCACACCAAACTAATTATATGCCCCGTGTATATTATCAA